ACAGGAGAAAAGCTTTACTTTAATGCAAATGCATCGTACACATGAGCAAACATTTATTGAATTGTTGTTTAGAGCTCTTACCTTGCTTGTCCAGAAAAGAGAAACTTCGAGTTGGTCATCTCCATTTGTTCTTGGGAAGCTTGAGAGTTCTGAAGCAAATATCTGTACTTGTTCACATCTATACACTGTCAATTTTTTCAATGATGGCCATTCAATAGTATGCATTTGATGACATAAGGCCTTCAGTTTGGGCAGAAAATAAAGATCTAGCTGTGTCAATTTTGGAAACACAAACTTTACAACAGATTCCATCAAAGTTGGTGGCATGAATTTTTGAGTTTGTGATTGGCTAACATCAAGCCCATGAGACTCAAACATCTCTTCAAGTGAATCACAACTCCGTATCTCTAACTTATCTAGTCTCTGAAGCCTTTCCAGCATACTAAATGGGAAAATATTTAGTAGCTTGTTACATGAATTCACACTAAGATAATTTAGTTGGCAAAAAGAACCTGTATCAAGTTGGTTGTCCCATATCTTGTCCAAGCTTTCCATAAATTCAATTGTTAGTTGCTCAAGCTTGGGGAATGTCACCTAAAAAGTTACCACATTGTATTAAAAAAACTAAACAGAATTAGACAAATGATGGAATGAAAAATTTTTGGAATCTAATTTTCAAAAGAACGTAAAATTTGGAGGCGATCCATGAAGTAGAATTACAAGACATTAATAAGTGAAAAATAAAGAAAAAGCAGAAAGAAGAAATTACCTTTGCATCAAATAGAGGAAGTGTACCAGTGTCAAAACTAGAGCTTGATGAGATGAACGTCTTTAATACAGGGCAGCTCATGATCAAAAGTTGCGAAAGGCAGGGGAATTTGATGTAATTGCCGTGGCAGAATCTTTCTAGTTTTGGAAGGCCTTGTATCTCTAGAATCCTCAGTTGAGGGAAAATCAAATTCCCATTTTCTTCTACATTCTCTATAAAAAGAACCTTTCCCATCTTCTTGCATCCCCCTATTTTAAGGTGTTCAAGCATTACCAGATCTCTAGCCACAGAAGATGTGAACAGATATTCCAAATTATCACAGCCCTCAATGATCAACTTCCTCAGTTTTGCAACATGAGAAGATGATATTGAAACGTGCCATATGGTGTTAACATTAATCCAAGATAATTGTAACTCCTCTAGGTTCGGAAATGCAACCTGCACAACGTACAATTCTTCTTCTGATTAAACTTCATGATTTTGGTCATAGATAAAAATAGGATGATATCATGTTAGAAGCCGTAGAGTTTAGGTACGACTAAAATAAAAGTAATGCAAATTAAAGAGGGGCATTATAAATTAAAGAGGAGTATTATATTTATCTAGTTTTTTTAATATATACAAAATTGAACAGTCAGTATTTAATACACTGCTTCACAAAATTATAAATAATGAGAAATTAATTTTATCTTTTCATCAAAAAATGTGAAATGGTTCCCTCAGCGTTTTGGACTTGGGATTCAGTCCTTGATGGACTTCTTAAACTTGGAGTATAGTTCTTCAAGTTGGTTTAAGTGTTGTTCAAGGGAAGATTGTATTGGTCACCCCTAAGCCAAAGAGAGTTTGAAAGTAACGAATACAACTCTTAATCAAAATAAAATAAATAAAATAATATAGTTCCAATTATCCTATTGTGTATAGATAATATTTCTTAAATATAATTAAGAAAACTAAATATATAATTTTCACAATTTTTAACTGTTAATAATTTTAGTCTACAAAACGAATCAGCATGTAATTTGTTGTGCCATATGATCTATTTGTGCTTCAGGATCGACCAACAGAAGAGGGTACCAAGATAGACAAAAGCAGAAATTGCATCAGAGGGCCAATGTGACGGAACTAGGCGAAGGTAACTGCACCATTAATTCCTACATATTTTGAGTGTGTACTGGTTTTGGCATGCCTTAAATTGATAGGCGCCACTACAAGTATGTGTGTGCAGTGAGATATAATTTGAGATTTGGGTGCCAAGTGAGAATGTTGTTTATAAGTAATTCTGTAAAGGGTTAAAAGTATTATAAATGAAAATTTCTGCTTTTGTTGATAAAAAAATTCATAAATTTAAAATTAGACTTCTATTAAAATGAAACAGAAAAAGAGATCTTTTGACGTAAGTTGTGTAGATTTACTTAATTAAAAACAACATTAAAAAACTCCAAATTAAAAAACCTCATCAGCTGAAGATTCTTTTTGTGAAGAATTTCTTCTTATTAACTCAAAGAAATGATGTAACGATAATCCCAAAGCAAAAACACGAGAAATGACAGAGACATTTAGAATGATGGATGGCAGTAGACTTGATGGACTTCTTCAACTTTTAAGTTTTCGTAAAGGGAAAATTGTATTGGTCACCCCTAAGGCAAAGGAAGTTTGAAAGCAGCGAATACAATTCTTAATCAAAAAAGAAAAAGAAAAAAATAAAAAAAAGCAGCGCTGATAGGACATAGGCATCATGAATTGAAACCTCTATAAATAGAACGGGTTTCTCTTCTTACTTATTGATTTCCACGTTATATAGTGGTTAAAATCTA